GTGTGTGTTTGTGTGTGTGTGTGTTATACATACAAATATAGATACAAAGGTGTTGGCGACGCGCCTATAAAAATGTTTCAGTTTATTAAATCAACCGATGACGTTGCTATGAAAAAAGGGGTAGTCACGAGCAACGACGCTCTGATAAGAGAATGCTTAGTTAAATCTTTAAGAAATGTCGAATTAATGATATGAAGGTCTTGGGTTCGACTCCCAGGCCGGACTAGTTTGTTTGTTTTCCTAAGTAATATCGCTTAGTAAATTCATAAGAATATTAAAGTGAAGTTAAAGATCGGATTTGTTCCCCGGTCGAGATAATCACTCTGTGCATAGGCAGAATTAATGGATATTAATTGCATAAATGTTGTTTTGTATAAGTTTGATACGTTTTGTACGAAAACAAATGCCTATTTGTTATGATTGATTAATGAGAACATTCATTTATATTGTTATCTGATTAAAGATAGTTTCATACAGTTCGAAAATTGTATAAAAGCATTTAATTTGCCTAATGTGGTCAAAATTGGTGTATTTCATAATTTAATTTTTTCTGATAGCCGAGAGCCGTGCAAAGTTAGTTGTTCACATAGCGCGAGTACACGGAAGCACGCTGGCCACGCCCTTAGGAGGCCGAATATGTAAAAATTTAAAATGTTTGTAATTCAGTGATTTATGTAAAAATTACTTGTAAAATATTTCAGGTTAATTGTACGTGCTAAAAAGGTAAATTCTGTGTTATTTTCATGTGAAAATTCCTGTGTATAAGTGAAATAATGATAGTTTTGTATAAGAAATTTAAAAGTGTTTTAAATAGTGAAATAAATAGAAAAAATGTAAATTAAACTATTGTATTGGTTAGCTTATGTATAAATTCAAGTGAGAAACATTGTTTTAACTTTCTGTGTTAAATATTTAAGAAATTTCGATTTCGAACTTGTGAGTAAAATAGGCAGTTTTCGTTTAATAAATAAAAGGTTTTTATGATATGAAGATATGATGTATATCATGGTGTAGATATTGTTTTGTACTACCTATATTGATAAATTGTATTTGTATATGATTTGAATAAATAAAGATATTGAGTGAAACGTGAGAGAGTAATAGTACAAATTCATGTAATTAAGTTGCGCAAGCGCGCAGATGGCGCGGCTCACTTTCGCGTTTAGCTTAGGGGTAGGATAGTAAATTGATTTTATTGCAATTCGTTCGGGAATCGTTCGGGAATGGTTCGGGAAATATTCAAGGAAATCGTTCGGGAATCGTTCGGGAATCGTTCGGGAATGGTTCGGGAAATATTCAAGGAAATCGTTCGGGAAATATTCAAGGAAATAGTTCGGAAATAAATAAGAAAATCCGGGAAAAAGTTCAAGAAAAGTGAAAAACCAGCAGTATAGGGAAAAGTGATTACTCTCTCACGGAACGGTTTGAAGATAATTGCTGTTTCATTCCCAAGATCCTTTAAGTTATACAGTCCACATCGAAGAATTAAGGCGTCGGGACCGGGACGACTTCGGAAGACCCGTAATCCCCGTCTGAACCTACTTGCTGAAAAGGAAGAGGTTATCGCCCTAGTGTGTTACTCCGTTGCGGAGATCACATACGTTGTTCCCGAACCCAACGTAGGCGTGATAGGAGGCCGGATCGAGAGAAGCCTCGATTCCTGTTTCTTAGTACCCGATCCGCTAGGTCCTTTTCAATTGGTCCTTTTCAGGATCAAGAGGGACACCGACCTGGTCCTTTTCAAAAGGAGACATTTAATTCACACGCTCTACTTGAATTGCACTGCAAAGTGCAAAAAAAAACTGTGGCTAAAGGTAAATAGTCTCAAGTTGTGAAACGATGTAAGCTGTCTCGCTCATACTCATTGGCTTCAACTAGAGCTGTCTAGTACAAGAAGCTAATTCAGTGGGGTTGTCAGTCGCGCGCTCGAGCTTCGCGCGCCTTACATTAAGAAAAAAGCATTTTTCTCCTAAAAGTATTTAGGGACTTTTGATATTTATTTTAGAGATTTTATTGTGATATTTATTTTAGAGATTTTATTCAAGTATGGCCACTCAAAAAGCCAAAAGGTACAGCATAGCCGGGTGCTTAAATAACAATAGGAATGTATTCTTTTTATTCTTTACTGTTCCTAAGGATATCGAAAGTTAAGATATTTTATTAATATGTATATTATCTACATAATTAGGTACCTAGTTACTAGTCCCATAGTTACAGATTTATTATTTCACTAGAGACCCGACCACACCTCCGTATATTAAAATTTTTTTCGGATATAATGTCAATGATCTTAAATAAAGGGTCAGTGTAAGTAGACCTCCCAGTACTAGTTACTGCCTACTAATGCAATATCAGCATATACTGGTTATTATTAAAAAAATGCTCAACCAAGGCCCCTATTTGTTAAACACTTGGTCGATAAAAGAAAAAGATTGAAAATAGTAGCACTTCCCATTGCCACTCTTTCATTAATAATGTCGACGCGTGTGGCATGTTTTTAAATAGCAAAATAATGTGAAACAGAAAATGGTAAGTAGGTAAATTATCAGTTTCGAAGACGTTCAGGTTGATATAATCTTAATTTTACTAGATGTTGCATATTAACGTTTCTCACATTGCACACTAATGTTGTTATTGTCAGCAAATTGCTAGTACACTGCATACATTGCATAACACCTCGGTGTATTCTACTACCAACTAATATCAAAGGATTCAATTTGTTTTATCATAACATCTAATCCTACAGTAGGAGCGGCCTAACAAAAGCGCGTAACAGGCTAAGTGATATAAACACATTTTGATTGAATACGCATGGCACTTTTTTTTACAACGATTTAATCGGTGGGCTATTTATGGTCGCTTCCGAGGGGTGCAAAGTATTATGGAACATTAGCGACATTGTAACTATGCTTAAACTCGCAAGTTTGCTATCAGAGAGTGGTCCTTCTGTTCTTGTACTATTATTTATTCCGAGCTTCAACTGAGTAACATATGTAGCGTTTATATAGAAATTTGTAGAGCCTGAACTGAACTATACATTAGTCGTCAGTATTTTTGGGAAATTTCAAAATATATCCTGCATTACCAAGAAGCTAATGTTTTAAAAAAAATTGATATAGCATTTTGCCGGTGCGGGATCCACTAAAATTCTAATTAATCAATTATTGATGGTGGTTTACCACATAATCAGCGGTAAAAGAAAATGTTTGCTCAGCTCGCACATCTGATAAATAAATAAAATATTTCAAAGTCATGTTAGGTCCATCATCGTCGCATCATCACAGCCTATGACAAGGCCACCGCTGAACATAGGCCTACACTAAGTTATGTCACAAAGCACAGTTCTGATGCACGGGACGGAGACGGAACATGGTTGTATGTCAACACGGACGGGAGTTTAATGCATACGCACCGTGACAGTGACTCGAATTAACGTGGTAGTGTCGTGAAAGATGGATTTTTCATTTCAAGAATTGGCATTAATTGTTATTGCTTTCAATGTTGAAGAAGCTTGTAGCTTCTTCAACATTGAAAGCAATAACAATCAACCGTCTAGAGTAAAAGGAGATTTTCTGTACAATCCAACGTGGCAGAAAAGAGTACCAGAAGGTGAACGGGACGTGGCAAGCACTGGGCGGGACGGAGTAAACATCGTCACCGGCGATATTTTTCCCGTCACGTTCATGACACGTATCATGCCTTGCATCCGTAACGTATGCATTTTCAGGTACATTTTCTACGAAACGATATTTCCAAAATTTCACGTCCCGCTCCGTCCGGAATAAAACACGTTACCTATGCAGCGACCTTTATTGCCGATTGCAGTACCAGACGCGCACCTTTGATTGTTGCGGGTGACACTACTTGGTGATATTCGCCACCAATGACCTATCCATGATATTTTTTTTAATTTCATGGACTACTTTAACCCTGGACACGCCAATAACTGCACAATTAGTATTTTATATTACGTAATGATGCGAAATATGGGCGGTTACAAATAACATTAAAAAAAATAGTATTGCCAAAGATCCCCGTACAAATATAGTATAATAAGGAATAAGCAGTTAAGAGCTAAAAAAGGATTGATGAACATTTTGTCTAGAACAAACCTGTAAAAGTTGAAATGGGCAGGCCACATGATAAGAGAAAGCACCCTAGATTAACAAACAAAGTAGGGGAAACGAAAATGAGATGGGAGGGTAAAAGTTATTAAATAATTATATTTAATAATTTTTACCCTCGTTTTTTGTCCAAAACGCGCACCTATAGAATGATCTGCCTAAAAAGTGAAGGCAACCTACTTGCAAACAATTATCGGTTGACTGGCAGAGAATGCTGAAGAGAACTCTTATTAGGGTTAAGCTCGCCTTTGTATATTTATTTAAATATTTAATAATTGTTACCAACTTTGTGTGTAAAAGAATAAAGATAGAATTTAGGATTAAGTCCGCCTATAGATCCCGTATTGATGTGAGTATAAGGTTCAATCAAGTTTAAATAAAAATAATAAAAATTCTGAACATTTTAGACTAGCTTCACGACTCCTATGTTTATTTTTAAAGGTTTCAAAATTCTTATGATAAGACGTGCAAAACACGCTCGTATACATATGAATAATACAAAAATTTTTAATAATTTAAGTTGGTTTGAGCATATCCCTTCCAATGACAAGCAGTCCTTAGAGCCGTGGTAGCTCAGATGGTTAACGCTCATTATAAATATAACAGAACGCGAGTAACCCGGGTTCGATCCCCGCCGGCACCAATGAAATTGTTAATTGCAATTTTAAGTGCTGATTTACCACGTGCTCGGCGGTGAAGGAAAACATCAACCTGCATTTCTGAGGAATAAGAAAAAATATTTCGAAGACATGTGAAGTTCACCAATACGTTTTGGGGCTGCGCGGCGGACACTTCCTTGCCCTAAAACCCTCTCAGAAATGAGAGGCCTGTGCCCAGCAGTGGGACGTATATAGGCTGTAACTTTATTTTAACTTTTTAAAACCACTTCTTTGTAAAAAAAAAGGTGAATAAGCGACTTGCCTGTAGCGCAGTATGTCCACCATATACGCCATTGACATCGGCCCGTGCGCCATCTGTACGGGCCAGTATGTCTGCGCAGCGAGCCGCATCACCATTGGCTGCCGCTTTCACCAACTCCTCATTAGCATCGCCCGTCACGTGAGACTCGAACAGCTTCTTAAGAAGCACGGATAGGCGATCGCCTGAAAAAAAATTACGTTAATTTTGTAAACACACGGTGCTGATGCGGATATCACAATAAAATGTTAAGATAAATACGACACAGCACCCATTGTCATTGAACAAAATAGAGAATGGTTCAAAATAACGGTATTACACCTAATGATTTCTTATATTTACGCGAACACTATACATGATTAAAACTACTTTTACGGATTTTATCGCGTTTATTTTTACTTTTTATTTACTTTTATTTTTAATTCCCGACGTTTCGGGCGCTTTCCAGCACCCATGGTCACGGGGGACTGAGATGACTGACGTCCCGATGTCATTGTTAAACCCGGAGTACCTTCAGCTTTTTTAATTATTGTTTATGGTCCAATCTATGCAAAATGAACTATGTCCTGAGGTCTTGCAGTGGTATGCTTGGGTTTAGTTTTAATTTTATTGATTATAGGATCCCAAGCAGGTGGTAGTACCCAGCCTCCTTCTCTATTGAAATTAGGATGTTTTTTAATTTCAATAGCCTCACGTATCATCCTTGGTAGGAATCGGTGTTCTTTCGCGAGGATTTGTGGTCTATCAAATCTGATTCCCGGAACGTTGAAGTCTGCAGTTTGTGATCATATCCTAGACGGACCCAACCATTACATCAGATTTGATAGACCACAAATCCTCGCGAAAGAACACCGATTCCTACCAAGGATGATACGTGAGGCTATTGAAATTAAAAAAAAAATCCTAATTTCAATAGAGAAGGAGGCTGGGTACTACCACCTGCTTGGGATCCTATAATCAATAAAATTGAAACTAAACCCAAGCATACCACTGCAAGACCTCAGGACATAGTCAGTTCATTTTGCATAGATCGGACCATAAACAATAATTAAAAAAGCTGAAGGTACTCCGGGTTTAACAATGACATCGGGACGTCAGTCATCTCAGTCCCCCCGTGACCATGGGTGCTGGAAAGCGCCCGAAACGTCGGGAATTAAAAATAAAAGTAAATAAAAAGTAAAAATAAACGCGATAAAATCCGTAAAGGTATTACACCTGTTAATTTTAATGTTAATAACGCTCTCTTGAAGAACTACAGATCGATTTCCCTTCTGAGCCGCGTATACGTGCTGATCTAGAGTCATTACAAATCGTCACATATTCGTCCTTCAGTAAATTGTACAGAAGACCGAACAGTAGAATCTGCCACTTCGTGTTGCATATGTGAGCTATGAGAAAGCCTTTGATTCCGGCGAAATTTGGGCGGTGCTACAGTCCCTTCAGCGGTTCCAAGTCGACTGTCGGTATATCGAAGTGCTAGAGTGTTTGTACAGTAGGGCTACGACGGCTATCTGAGTACAGAATCTGAGTACGAAACCTATTCAACTGCAGAGAGGTGTAAGACAGAGTGACGTTATATCCCCTAAACTCTTCGCCGCTGCATTGGAAGACGTTTTCAAGCTACTGGACTGGAAAGGACACGGTATTAACATCAGTGGCGATCATCATAGATTTTCCTTCCAACGGATACTTCTGAAAATGAAGATGGACATAACAAAGATCATGTGTAACATCTGTATCACACCTATGCCGGTAATTGTTGGGAGCACTAAGCTCGAAGTTGTTGACGAACGTTTACCTGGGACAAATAGTCCGACTAGGTAAGTCCAACTTCGACCGAGAGGTTAATCGACGGATTCAACTCGGGTGGGCAGCGTTCGGGTAATTACGACACATCTTCTCGTTAGGTATACCTCAAAACCTGAAAATGAGGTTATACAATCAGTGCGTGTTGCCAGTGATGGCTTTAATCTAAGACGTGGTCCTTCACTGCTGGCGGTATGAGGAAGCTCAAGGTCACTCCGCGAGTTATGGAGAATACTTTGCTCGGAGTTCCTCTGTGTTATAAACTTAGAAATGAGGACATCCGCAGTATAACCAGAGTCACCGACATAGCCCAACGAATTAGTACGCTGAAGTGGCAATGGGCCTGCCATTTAGTTTGAAGAACCGACAACCGATGGGGTAAAAGGTGGCAGCCTAGTACCGGTAGGCGAAGTGCAGCGCGACCCCCCACTAGATGGAGTGACGACCTGGTACGACATGTCGATGGATGCAGGTGGCTCAGGACCGTGCTTTGTGGCATTACTTGAGGGAAACCTATGTTCAGCAGTGGATTTGTGAAGGGCTGTAACGACGACGATGATGATGATAATGAAAAATAAGTCAATTAAAAGAAATCGTGTTTCTGCGACAGAGAACATGCATGATTTTTACGTTCTATTTTCGTCTTATTAACTGCGTAGTACAACTAAAAACATTGTTAAATAGAGATAATATTTACAACAATTACTTAAAATTATGTCTCGTAGCTCTAAGTATTGAAAAAGCTTAATCAAAAATAAGTAACTGGGACAGGTGTTTCTACACTCAAAAGAAGATTTCCACACGTCCCAAGATCATTGTTAAAAAATTAGTTGATCAATAAAGATTATTATTATTTTATTATTATGTAATTGGCAGCTTGGACTTTTCTTCGGTGTCTATCGCGCGCGTCGCATATATATGACCATAGGAATGGGATACAATGGTATGGTAATGGTAAAGGTATATGCATCATTCAGCATAAAATAAACAGTGTAATACGAAATAAAGTTTATTTAACATGTTACCTTATGTTATTAATTCTTTTCCTTATTATTCATAAGAAAAATATCCCTCAGGCTCTTTGTATAATGACAAAATTTGACGTTAGTTCCCATCCCTAGACGCCTATGTTTGCAACACATTTCTCTAGTTAGTCTAGCGCGGCTGTCGTATTAATACAACCACTGCCTGCGTCACAAGCGGATCAAACTAACGGAAATTTCCATTAATGTCGTTCACATTTTTTAGAATATTTCTCTTATTGATAGAATCAGGCGTTACTTTGCGGAAAGCTATTATAATAAATAATTTATTACTTTGCAACCTTCCGCTAACTAATTACAATGATGTGTCTTACCTGGATTGAAGAGCACCTCCCGCCCTCCCTCAATTGCATGCACTAACTCCGTCACTACTACTCCCGGCACCACTACTTACAACACCACTATTCCAGGTAAGACACACCATCGACGACAATACGACACGTGTTTCGCCTCTACACGAGGCATCCTCCGGTAATGTAGACCCTACGGCGACTGACCGCTGAGTGAGCGGCGAGCCGAAACAGCTGCTATTTATACACGCCGACACTACCACTAGCGAGTGACCGCGCCGCGCGATAACAAACCTGCGACTAATTGTTATGATTAATATTTTTTGAATATTATTATTATTATTGTTTTTATTATATATATATATATATATATATATATATATATATATATATATATATATATATATATATATATTTTATATATATATATATTGACTTAACAATAACAAGAAAAGAGTCGTTGCATGTTTTTCAAATTTATCGAAAGCCAACTCATACCGACACGGTCATCCGCGCGTCATCATGTTATCCATGGCAACATACATTAGCCGCTTTTTATTGTTACATCAACCGTCTGTTCACTGTTCCATTAAGTAAAGAAAATTATTTAAAAGAACTTAATATAATTTTACAAATTGCAGTCTCTATCGGTTTTTCAAAAAATCTCATTAAGGCCGAATACGAAGAGAACTGGCGAAAATTAATGTATTTCTCTTGACTATAACTTTGATATGAAGTAATTCTAAGCTTTAAAACATTTTTGTAGGTTTGTTCGGGTCCTTCACAAGGTCACCGTCATTTTAAAATTTTAAAATAAATGAATATGCCAACAAATAAAAAAATGTTAAAAAATGATATATAAAATTATTGTTCTTCCAAAACTCTGTGAATTTTAATTTAGGAATAATTCTTTTACGTAAAAATGTTTGTATTGTGATTCTGAAGGTATCTGCTATCTTTATTTTCGATACAAAATATTATTTATTAACATAATTCGCTTTAATTAAAAACACCTAATAATAATATCGTATATTGCCTGATAAAAGTTTGCCGTAATAAATTACCAGGCGCTTCGACGTGTGACGTAAGGTAACAACAGTCAATGTGTCTGTAGCGAAAATCGTTAATTTAGTGTTTTATACGCGTTTAAATGTCTATAAATGTTAATATGGGTAGGAAAAGAAATAAATGTTACCTAAGTGGTAAAACAAAGAGAGTTTATCGCATGAACGCTGCTCGAATGTTGTATTTTGAGGTTAATACTTATATTTTTGTAAGGTAATTTTTTGTTTGAGGCTGCCTAATAGGTTGCATTTTTACTCATTTACATTAGCCAAACTGATCATTTATAGTTTTCTAGTTTCAAGTGAGAAACACTAAAAATGTAAAATATCAAGACCCAGTCGGAAAAGAATGTACAGAGTAGTGCAAGCACAGAGACCGCAAATAATGTCAGTCAATGTATTGTCCGAAAGCATGGGATAAGTACATAATTAAGAAAAACCGAAATACTTCGGATGTGAAGTGATTGACCAGTCGGAGTAGTCTTGTGAGAATTTACATATACAGTACCTATCCCCATATGGGGCAATCTTTTTTTTTCTTTATTATTTATGCAATTTGCATTACGGCATCTTGTAAGACTCACAAGAACAAACATTTTCAGTTATATGAGGTTCTTTACGTACGATGCACCAATAAAGAAAAAAAATCGTTATCAATTCAATAACTTTTCGAACAATATTTTATAACGAATAAAGTACAGAATTCATAATCTATAGGACCTAATATTATAAATAAGAAAAATTTATTTAAGAAGTAAGCAATGCTCTCTGTGTTGTTCATTACTCTGCATCTGAGCTAGATCGTCAAATATAATCAAAGCCCGTCCGGCTTTGATTATAGATATTATACATGTCTATATAAACAAAGCGTAGGTACTGGCGGCGCGTGGTTCGCTGCGAAACGAGCAAGGTCATTCGCGTCGTATTCAGCCTTAATAATCTTATTAAAAAGAAACAAAAGCATGTTGTTCGCAATTCTTTGTACGCGGTTCGATCTCAAAGCGTCCGGCGATATGTGGGTAGTTTGCTAGTTAGCTAGCTAAGTTTGGTTAGTTAGCTAATACTCTATATCTAGAAAAAACGACCTTAACATGGCATTCAAAACAAACAATTCGCTTAGGAATATTTGTAATAATAAAGATAAGTTAAATATTAGTCAAAAATCGGGTGTTTATAAACTTGTTTGTGACGAATGCCACGCCGTTTACGTGGGTCAGACTAGTCGCAATTTCGGGACACGCTATAAAGAGCCTTTGACCGCGTACAGAAATTGAAATCCTGATAAATCCCATTTTGCTAAACATCTCTTGGACACTGGACACAACTTAGCCAGCGACCATTCCTTTGAAGTTTACATACTTGTAGTAAGGGGCTGCGGCTGTGTGTGCTGGAACAGTTGGAGATTTTAAAAAACAATAATGGTAACAATGCACTGCTGAATGAACGAACAAATGTTTCTAATTCACCTTTGTTAAACATCTTTAAGGCTAATCTTTAATAATAATTTTAAAATTAATAATAATAAATAACTATAATAACATGAATATAAAAAACAATAATAATAATATTAATCATAACAATTAGTCGCAGGTTTGTTATCGCGCGGCGCGGTCACTCGCTACTTTGGTGGGGAGTGGTAGTGTCGGCGTGTATAAATAGCAGCTGTTTCGGCTCGCCGCTCACTTAGCGGTCAGTCGCCGTAGAGTCTACATTACCGGAGGATGCCTCGTGTAGAGGCGAAACACGTGTCGTATTGTCGTCGATGGTGTGTCTTACCTGGAATAGTGGTGTTGTAAGTAGTGGTGATGGAGTTAGTGCATGCAATTGAGGGAGGGCGGAAGGTGCTCTTCAATCCAGGTAAGACACATCATTGTAATTAGTTAGCGGAAGGTTGCAAAGTAATAAATTATTTATTATAATGGCTTTCCGCAAAGTAACGCCTGATTCTATCAATAAGAGAAATATTCTAAAAAATGTGAACGACATTAATGGAAATTTCCGTTAGTTTGATCCGCTTGTGACGCAGGCAGTGGTTGTAGTAATACGACAGCCGCGCTAGACTAACTAGAGAAATGTGTTGCAAACATAGGCGTCTAGGGATGGGAACTAACGTCAAATTTTGTCATTATACAAAGAGCCTGAGGGATATTTTTCTTATGAATAATAAGGAAAGGAATTAATAAAGGAAAAACCGATATAGACTGCAATTTGTAAAATTATATTAAGTTCTTTTAAATAATTTTCTTTACTTAATGGAACAGTGAACAGACGATTGATGTAACAATAAAAAGCGGCTAATGTATGTTGCCGTGGATAACATGATGACGCGCGGATGACCGTGTCGGTATGAGTTGGCTTTCGATAAATTTGAAAAACATGCAACGAGTCTTTTCTTGTTATTGTTAAGTCAAGGAAATTAACCGACCGACCGAATTATATCATATATATAAGAAAACGATGGGGAAGAAAGGTTCTCGAGTGGCAGCCTCGTACCGGTAGGCGTAGTGTAGGCCGACCCCCCACTGTGGCCCTTACTGCGTAAGCAATAAGAGGTTCATTTATTTATTTCACGCAAGCAGCAAGACTGACAGAGGCTTGGTGGTACGTAAAGTAGACGCTAAATGGCCTCAATACGACTTATTTGATATCTTAATATACACTCGGCGTCACAAAAATCGCACTTCCCGCTATAAACCCTACAATATTGATTAAAACTACTTTTACGGATTTTATTACTTTTACCCTTATCCGACATTCATGTATGCGTAGATATATAGATGGGGAGGAAGCGAGAGAGGGGTGTCAGGATCGTGCCAAATGGAAGTCCGTAGTCTCTGCCTACCCCTCTGGGTACATGCGTGAGTGTTGATAAATTTATGTATGTATGTATGTGTTTTAGCCACAATATTTTTTTCGTTTTATCAAATTGACACAAATGATTTGGCGTAATTAGAAAACTATTCTCTGAAAAAACTTATATGGAGGTACAAAAACGACGTTGCCGCAAAGTAAAAAGTAAGTGGCCTACCGACATAAAATTGAAAGCTATCTTTAGTTTAAAAAAAATTACTATTTTTAAAAAAACATTATATTTCGCGTTTTTTATTTATAGCAGCGTTAAAATAGTAATGTTTATATATTGTAAAAAATATGGTAATTTTTTTAAACTAAATTTTGAAAATAATAATATAACCATAATCCCTTTTGTAAAATATGTTACAATTAATACACGTCTTACCTGAGGAATTTCCATGTACACTGCCGTCAGACGAAAACACCTTCGTGACAGCATTAGGGTTGTAAGTCCAAGATGTATTACACACTTCCACTTTAAGATCGTTGTCGTGATAAATCTGCTGTACGCGTCCTATTTTACCAAGCGTCTGTAACAAAATGTATTGTCATTACCAAACACAGCAAGCAAATATTATGGCAGTAGCACGAAAGGGCCAGCTCGGAGGGAGAAGACTAGATCCTCGAGAGGAATACAGCAACTTAATTCTGCTGTTTCGTATGAACCGGAAACCGTTTATAACTAGTAACGAGGCATTCCGTCTTAGTCTTCATGGTGACAAGCCATCTGCATTTTGATTCCTAACCGTGGATGTATGAAGCCGATCAAGTGGACTGTGCTCGTTTGTCATTACAGTTCTTCACAAGTTCACTGCTGAACATGGCCCTCCTCCAAATTTTAAGGAATAACCACAGCAAAAAAGGACAATACAACGACTGGCGCAGCGATAAATTGAAGACTGCATCACCGATCCGTCTGCCAAAGGTGGTTTTTATGGGAATCTTCGCAAATTTGAAGAAAAGCATTATGCCCTTTCGCGGGTTTTAGGCTACAAAAAGTCACATAAAAACTAACATGGTTGATTATTGTAGAAATATATTTATGTACTCCCAAAAATGAAATAAAAAATGAAATACCTAGAATATACACTACCCCTTATCATCTCGTAGATATCGTAAACGGCCCTCTGCCAATTGCAGCTTCAAACAAAGCAAAAGATGGGCAGCAGCGTCTTCGTAATAACGACTAAAATTAAAAACTGCGGTTGCCAACCCGCTTGCCAATCGTAGCAACTATGGCAAATACCCCCTGTAAGGCAATTAATATATAATTAAGGCTGTAACGGTAACAGTTTCTTTATAAAACTGAAGTAAACAACTAACTTACAGTCCACCTGATGATCGTAAGTGGCTACTGCAGCCCATGGAAACTTGTAGCTAACTTCAAACAAAGAAGGCTATGTTGCTGTCACCCCTAAGGATTGAGATCGAATGCCTCACAGCCCGTATTCATACCGGCACTAGGTAAGTGTGATACCTACGATATTCTCTGTTTATTTATTTTTTCAACCATTTTATCGAACATTAATATTTTGTGAAAATCCTCCACAACATCCACTTACTTAAAAAAAGAATCATATGATAAGAAGAATATTACGACGACCGATTCGACTTACGAACCTTCAAAATAAGACTACTCTTTTTAAAAGGCTGGCAACATATCTACAATTCCCCTGGTGTTGGGGCTTAGGTTAGCCGCATCTTCATTCGCCCCCTCTTGTATATAGGGTTATTTTCCAATAACCGGTCAAATTTGCTGAGAAGGTTCAAAATAAGTAATATAAGCAAATGGTGAAGAAAAATTAATTAAAAAATATCGCAATTATTCTGTTTTTTTTTTTAATCTTTTAAATTGAAAATGATTGGTAATGCAACTCAATCTGTAGAACTCAATCTGTAAATAAAAATAAAATAAAGAACTGCCGGCAGTATTCAGGTGAAGAAGCTCTTTAATTTTCTGGCATCTATTACTTAAGCCGCTTGAATAATACCGACCAACCAACCATGCATATATACTTATACATGTACCGAGCGGTGTATATTAACCGGCCAAATTTGCAGAAAAAGTTTAGAATAATTAATATAGGCTTAAAGAAAAATTAATTCAAAAAATCTCAAGCATTCTATCTTTTTTATTCAAAATGCGTGGTAATGTATTATTTTAATGGATTTTACTGCGCACGCACTCATTCGTAAAGGTCAATCGGTAGACAAAAACATTGTTGCCCACAAATCACATTCAGTTATAAAATTGTTATTATTATTTGTTATTTATTCGTATCGCCGTAATTAAAATTAAAACTGTAATAATAACAAAAGCCCTGTGGTTCCCGTTAACTGCGTTATCAGAATCAGTATTCAAGCGTATAGAATTTTTTTTTCAGAAAACTCGACTATAATTTTTTTTTCATTTAATTAAAAAAATATTTACAAATTTATGTGGTTTTATTTCCTCTAACTCACACGAGTATCGGTAATGCGGGTCTTTGACAATCCTCTTACTCCTCCGCCAATGCAGAGATAATAAAATCACATACAATTTGCAAATTATTTTTTTTAATTAAAATTAGTTTTTTTAAATGTTTTTTTTTTGAAAAAAAAATGTGCCCAATTGGATGGAACGTATGTCCTGGTTGGTACGTACGTTGGTTCGTTGTACGCGATCGCCGTATGATTCGTCAAGTTTTTAAACTTTCGTATGCATTGAGTTCACACTGACCACTAGGCCGAGCATAAAATGTACATTTTGGAAAAACTGTGGTAATTAATAATTATTGAGGCTATATCGTGAAATAACAATTTAAAACTTTTATGATAAAATTGTCTAGTGGTTGAATTCGAGAGTATTTCCTTAAACTGTTAGGTTTTTACATATCAAGTAAACGCTTTTTTGTCTTGGCCTACTCCACACGCTATTAAAAAGAAACATATGAAATCACACAAAATCATAGTTTATTCCGTCAATCTTTCTTAATTACCTGTTGTTAAAGTCCTGTTTGGCCTTAGACTATTAAGTGTTAGATATTGATACTTACTCCGAGATATTGACAGTATTAAAGTTGCAGCATCTATTCGTCCCACTGCTGGGCACAGGCCTTCTCTCATTTCTGAGAAGGTTTTAGGGCAAGGTAAAGTCCACAGCGCTGCCCCAATGCGTGTTGGCAAATTTCACATGGCTTCGTAATATTTTTTTCTTATATCTCAGACATACAGGTTTCCTCACGATGTTTTCCTTCACCTTTAACTTGGCCAGTATAAACGTCAAAAAACGGCATAATTATGTCTATATTTTATACTTTGGAAGTATGAACGTAGACAATAAGTGTTTTATTTTGTTTAATTTAATGCATTTGTAACACATATTTTATGTAAATTTTAGCTTTCCGTACTCCTCTATATATACTTTAAATCTCACAATCCTCTGCGCGCGCAGTATGCCTAAAAAGGGGTACAGTACAGTTTTTCTACCACGTATTAATGAATAGATAGATATACATACGGGTGCCATTGCTTCGGCCCACTCGCCGTGGCCACGTTGGAGCGCTTTAACGCGCTCCTGGTCGGCGCACACCTCCACCAGGTCGCCTACAGCGAAGCCGGCCGCCGCGGCCCCCGCTCCCCCCGCCGCACCCGCACTCGTCGCCGCGCCGCTCGCAGACGTCGACGCGCTTAGGTTGCCGCTGCACACCTTCATGATTTATCATACCAAATTACAAAGAGGTTTATATGTGTTTGTTTGACGCTTTGTAACTCAAAAAAACAGAACAGATTTTTATAAAACTTTTACCATGTACGTACAATATACTATATACTTAGTCAGGTCATAAGTTCTGTCAAAAACTTTTTATAAAATTAATGATACACTTTTTGATAATTGTATAGAAATTATATATAAAATGAAAGGTAATTTAGTTTAAAATAATATTTTATTTGCATTATTCAAAACGCCCTCCCCTATTTTGAATAAATGCCCTTAATCAACGCCGCCAATCATCAATCGCAGCACGCACCACACTCATATCTATTTTTGCAGCTGCTTTAGCCAAAGATGCTCGGAGATACCAAATTCCGATTAGGTTTAGCGCAGACTTTCTCCTCCAAATGATGCCACATCTTATAATCCAGCGGCCTTAAATATGGACAGAAGAGGGCCAGTCGTCATGTCAAATCAAGTCAATACTATGGGCGGTCAACCAGTTTTGCGGACTACGTGCCCTATGAGCTTATGCAGAGTCCTGTTGGAATATCCAATGTCTGTTTTTTAAGATTTTTTTTTTTGAGAAAGAGATTCCACTATGTTTGTTAGGACGGTTTTTTAGTACACCTCGCCACTGATTTTTACACCTTTTTCACAGAAAAGCACCTCAGTTTAAGCCTAAATATGAGACTCCAAGCCAAACCACGAGTGACGAAGGATAATGTGCTCTTTGAACCCTCGGAATACGCGTGCTGGCTTCCTCACTGCTGTAGGCATTCACCTTATCATTTTGTTTATTATAATTTTCTTCGATGTAAAAAAATTTTTCATCCAAAAACAAAATTTCGTGGTATTTTTACCCGCGTATCGCCGTAACAAAGCGCGGGATCTATCCAGCCTAATTTTTTTCAAACGCTCTTTCAAAACATGTCCGGTCTCCTTACGATAAGCTCGTAGACCTAGGTCTTCATTGATCACTCTTTTGACCGTGGGTCTGCTTAGGCCAATCTGAAGAGCTAAGATTTTTTGTATGCGAACAAGACTTCGTTGGATTTGCGGCTTTACTGCTTTGATGATCGCGGGTGTACTAACTGGACGAAGTCGGCCGGTCCTCTTACGATCTTCGAAGCTTGAATCTTCAGTGAATCGTTTGATAGTGCGATTAACAAATTGTAAGGTTATTTTCAATTTTTGTAGAATATTGAAAATCTCTCTTGGCGCGAAACCACAGCAGTGCAACGCGACAACCGCTACTCTATATTCTTTCTTCGACTATTCGTAAGTTCCTATAACGTCTTTTTTTATTTTCAGCAAGCGCAAACGTTATATTTAAAATTAAATTTAAAATTGGTGAAGTTCATGTAGCCAGTATTCAAAAAATTTTAATAATAAGGTTATGACAGAACTTATGACTTTTAAGTATAACTACTTCTAGGATCCATAAGAAAAACATAAGGGATAATAATATTTTTTTTATAGGATAGGGTGACAAACGAGCACACAGTCCACCTGATGGTAAGTGGTTGCTGCGGCCCATAGACATCTACATCTATCTTCCATTACAAATCAAAATGCAGATGCGTTGTCACCCGTGAGGACTGAGATGGAATGCCTCGTTTCAGTAAAAAGGGTCTCCGGTTCTCTACACTCACCATACGAAATACAGCAGCATTAAGCTACTATTTCACGCTGGTATTCTGTGAGAGCGTGGTCCTTCCCCGGTCGAGCCGACCCATTCGTGCTACAACTATACTACTAATATAATTGCAGCATGGCTCTACCACGTTAAAAATAAATACTGCGTTTATTTCGGTAATCTTGTTTACAACATACTGCTGAGCTTCCCAGTGAACACTCAGAAGATACTCGTATCGGGATGACTTGCTACTTCCCTTAAGGATGACGGTAACATTACAAAAGTCTATTAAGAGTATAAATCTCTAGAAAAAATATAATTTGTACATGGTATTTTAAGGTGCGTGTGAATGGAGAGTGGGAGTGTTGTTGTATGTATAACGCGAGGGTGTGTGTGTATGTGTTGGTGAAGGAAAAAAGTATACTTAAGACGACTAGTTGCCCTGCATAATATAATATTAGTGACCAAATATCAAAGACAGCTACTGTGTTACCTATAAATGTTGGTGAATATGATGAATAAAATGTTGGTGAGATTGATTACAGATGATTCTAGACGTGGTAGAGCCAAGCTGCAGCTATATTATGGTTGTAGCACGAATGGGTCGGCTCGACCGGGGAAGGACCACGCTCTCACAGAATACCAGCGTAAAATAGCAGCTTAATACTGCTGTGTTCCGTATGGTGAGTGTAGAGATCCGGAGACCCTTTTTTACTGAAAACGAGGCATTCCGTCGTGGTCCTCAGTTTGATTCTTAATCGAGGATAAATGTAGATGTCTATGGGTAACAGCATCCTGTTACCATCAGGTGGACTGTGTGCTCATTTGTCACCCTCATTCTATTAAAAAAAACCTCGTCATAAGTGATTATACCCAACCTATGCGTTAAATTTTTTTGCTTATATATAATTGCATAGGATATATTTAAGTATTTTGTTTTGTTTACCGTTTATAAAACCAGACTGACATAGGTACTGTCTACTTGCAGACAGTACGTATAAGAGATTTAAGGGCCACAATATCAGTTCTTCTCTTTTTTTGAAGGGAATCATTAAACAGTAGTGACTTATGACATTTTAGAATAAAGTTGTGAACATAAATCTTTCTAACTGAAAGAAGTTTACTAATGTGATATAGGTTGTTAGTAGAGAATCTATAAGGGTTGAAATACATGACCTTTATAAGAGTTCTCTGTGCTCTTTCCAGATCTAAAAAGTTGGTCCTCCCCAGATTGGAATGCAATAGAAAATTATCAATTGTGCTAAGGCTATATAAGTTTTGTTTAATAGATTGCTAGACATTGCTGACCTTAATGATTTAAATACCCAGATGAACTTTCTGATCCGATTTATAACAGCTTACAAATGCGAGTGCCAACTACGCCTTTGATCAACAATGATGCAAAGATATTTAGTTTCGTTTACCTTATTTATAAGCAGACACTCGCACGAGATATTTTCAGGATTTGGGCAACTATGGATTTAATAAATTATATCCCGGCTGCGCCAATATATAGGGAGCAAAACATGTAGTTCGTTTTTGGATACTTATCTATAGTTAAAAAATTATCCCGCAGACATTTCGATACACGAGCTAAGCCCTTCGCAGCCAGTTGGCGAACGGAATACCAAGTTTTACTAGTAAAAACAATAGTCATATCATCCGCATAAGAGAATATCCTTCCCCCGAAGTCCTGTGAGTTACACAATTATTGATATAAATTTAAGATTCAGGCCCAAGGACACTTACCTGCGGGACACCTATTTTAACGGAATCTTTGTCACTAATGAAGCTATTTATTTTTTTAACTACTTATTCCATCATCTGTGGTGCCTATTGGAGGCAGAACTCGCCATGGTTTGGTCACTCCTGTAAAATTGCATCAAGCCATAAACAGGAGTGCTACCGGGCCTGGGCTGCCGCATCTACGTCTCGGGATGCAAACACTAGCCCTCTTAACTTCAAGAATACGTGCATTCAGGTCTGTCGCCAAGGCTGTCCAAGGAAACTTCTGTTAGCCATCTTTGCCATCTCTGTACTGGGAGGACGACTCACTGGTCCATGCCGCAAAGGAGAAAGCCGATGTGCTAGGCTCTCTCTTTGCGTCCAACTCGACTCTCGAAGAGGGGATAACACACCGCCGACCATCCTGAGGTGTGAGTGCTCCATGACGGATGTGCTGTTTACACAGCGCTGGGTGCGCAAAGCACTCCTCTCCCTAGACGTCAATAAGTCAAGTGGGCCTGATGGAGCACATCTATTGTGAATAAGACTTGTGCTCCGAAGTTGGCACCGGTTTAAACGCGTCTTTTCCGGTACTCTTACTACCTAGGCGTAGTCCCGAACTCATGGAAGACAGCATTCATGCACCTAATCCCTTAAAAAGAGTAACCGTGCAGATCTGTCTAACTACAGGCCCATCGCTATCACCTCCTTGTTCTCCAAAATAATGGAAATAACTATTACCTGCCAGTTCATGAGGTACCTTGAGGATCACCAGCTGATTAGTGACAGCTAGTACAGTTTCCGTCGGAGCGCTCAGCTGGCGATTTTCTTAATGAAATAATAAAACTCGCTTGGTGGTTTGCATAGATTACTGACTATGTACTAGAGAGTGGTTTGCAACAGACTAACCTTTATTTATAGTCATCTATAACAGAGTAGGCAGATTTACATTCATATACCAATAGATGGCCTTAGTAGTATGATATTTTATTATTAAGTTACAATTTATTTATAACACTTCTAAGTTACCTAACCCATAGATGGGCGGAGGCAGTAGAGTCCAAGGGGAGGGAGGGGGCGTTGGCCGTTAGTTTGGAGATAGCGAAGGCCTATTGGAGGCAGAACAGGCAGGCCTTCGATGGGGTTTGACACAAAGCGCTTCTTTCGAAATTTCCCTCCTATAGGCTTCTCGAGAAATTGTGATATTGGAATACCAGTTTTCTTGCAGATTGGAGCATCAGGGCCGTAGTAAACGGTGCACCAAAAAGTAGCTGACTGGGGCGACTAAATCTAGTCCAGTTCAATCCTCAGAAGACACAATTCTGCGCATTTACCGCCAAAAAGAATAAAAAGCTTGACGTGCTCGGCAGGGCGTGACAGTAGTTCATACCATCACGCCGCCTGCAACTTTACACGGTGCAGGTTCAACCTCACATGGAATACTGTTCTCTATATCTGGGCTAGGGCTCCCCAGTGCCAGTTCCTTCTATTTGATCACATCCAGCGCAGAGCGGTTCGAATTATCGGCGACTGAGCTCTTTCTGATCGGCTTGACTCACTGGCACTGCGAAGGGATGTTGCATCTCTTTGCGTATTTCATCTTATCTACCACGAGGAATGTTTTGAGAAATTGTTCGAACTGATTCCAGTCGCTCAATTTCATAATCGCACATCGCAATGATACTAACTCTCGATACTATCCATACCATATGGATGACTGGCGGCCCACCACTGCGCAATTTAGAAGAAGTTTTCTTCCTCGCACAACTTCCTTGTGGATTCGACTACCACCAAAGATTTTTCCAGACTGATACGACTGAGGGACTTTCACGAAAATAGCTTACTCTTTCTTAAAAGGCAGGCAACGCATCTGCAATTTCCCTGGTGTTGCAGTTGTCCAACGGAGGTGGTCACTTACCATCAGGTGAGCTGCATGCTCGTTTGCCCCTCTACTATAAAATAAATATTTATTTATATTGTTATTTAATAAACAATCACACATATTGTCATTAATTTTTTTAAGCTTTTGCTTAAGTTTGCTTAAGTTTAAAATTGCTCCTCATTGTTTTTCTCATGCATTCTCCTATTTTAGTTTTTTTTTTTACTAATAAACTCTTAAAATAAATAATAAAACAAATTTATTTTCACTTTTAGCAAAGCAATTAGAAACGGAAACTTAACTGAAATAAAACATTTTAGTCAAAATAAAATCGTATTCTTAATTTCTTAACATTTTTTAATTTCCTAATTTTTGGTTTAAATAAAAAAAAATTAAACAAAAAAAATGTTTAAAGAAAAGAAAGTAACAACAACAAAAAAAAGAAAAAAAGTTTACATAGTCACATATTTTTCAAAATTTTTAAGTGCACTTGAGCTTTATTACGGATACAAATTATTTTAAAGGACGATCTTTCGCACAAAAACCTTTCCCAAATGCAGTCCAACAGTATTTGTACTGCTTGGATTTAAGAGGTCCCGTAATAAGAAAACCAGGCGAGCTACCTTCGCAGTCAGCTGCAGCGATAAGTAAATAAGAGTACCTTACTAAAAGTGAGACCCAAGTGTTTTGCTTGTAGATCTTGATTTTGAAGTTAAACACCTTAGACTTTTTTAACAAGTTTAGCGATAATAGGAGTTTTTTCTTCTTACGATGGAAAATGTCTGACGTCGCCCGAGCAGACATCGAGATGCATAATTTTGAACAGATTAAGCACCATGTTGATCAGATAGTCAATTCAACACTGGACTTGCGTACGACTCACTGTAAGTCCTCTATTTTCTCCTCGAGGATAGAGATATATTCCCCGATCCTTTTTTGTTTGTGACTCCAATATGTCTATCTTTTTTCGAAATTCCTCATTTTGAGAGGCTAACAGAAAAACACATTACTCGATACTAGTGTTTGTTTGTTGAATTACCTATAGGGTGTGTATTTTTTTTTGTTCAGTAATTAATAGGGATAACCAAAGTAAAGTTTTAAATATTTTTCGATCTAAATATCATAACATTAAATCTCACGCCTGTCACCCAAGAGAAAGGCAGAGATTACGGATTTCAGCACTGATTTAGGCAAGATTGACAATCCTCTTTCGCTTCTTTCACATCTATAATCTACGCATACATGCTCGTCGGTTAATGGTACACCATCTTTAAAATATTGCCAATTTTTTTGATAAACATTTTCGATCTTTTTTGTAAAAAGATAACATCAAAAGGATAAACTTACATTTCTTAATTAAATACGTAACAATATGTACGTATTGTAATATATTTGGAGCAGATATGCAAACAATATTACGTATCGTACTGAGATATTGACGACCGCTTGGACAAGACGAAATACGTGATAACTAGACCACGAGTCCTGTGTCTAAATTCTGGTCACAATACTTGACTAGCTTTTTCTTTACATAGAAAAGCCGAGAAATTGTTTACCTTAGTTAAAACAGCAGGGTTAAAGGTCCACCTGTTTCCACTGGGATAGGAAACTACAATATCGTGGTCTTCATCAATACCGCTGACTGTGCCCGTTGTGCTAAGGCATTCGAACATTCCGTCAGTCCACCCACCGTGGCCATGCTGCAAGGACTGGACTATCTCCAAGTCTAGATCAACATTCACCTGAAAACCGAAATAATTTCTTCTTTTTAAACTTGACTAAAACTTGATAAAAACCTCATAGATCTTAAAAAATACTGCCACGGTTGTAAATTATTACAAAAAACAAAAGCAGTTTCGTCCTATAACCATACGTCTATAAAATTTATATTCGAAACTGTTTTTTTTTTTTTTTTTTTTTTTTTTTTATATCTATATATATATATTAAAATTCTGGAGAAATTAAGTTAAAAATCTATAAATAGATATCTGCTAGGTTTCGTGAAGAGAAAGCCTGGAAGGCCACTCAAGAACCTTTCTACCCCAACAGTTGTCGGTTCTTCGAGCTACATGGCAGGCCTATTGCACCTTCAGCTTACTAACCCGTTGGGCTATGTGGAATACTCTGAATCTACTGCGGATATCTTTTTTAAAACTATCATGCAGAGAAACCCCGAGTATAGCCCTCTCTATAGTTCGCTGAGTGACCTTGAGCTTCCACATACGACCAACAGGGAAGGACCATGTTTCAAATCCAAGTCATCACTGGCAAGTTTGAGATATACATGAAGAGAAGATGTGTCGAAACAATTGGATTTCGTTATTATTAAAAACTGAGGGCAACTACTTATTATTTCGTAAAAGATCATTTATGTTCTCGTAATCTCCCGAACGCTGCCCATTCGAGTTGAATCCGTCGATTGACCTTTCGGTCGAAGTTGGACTCACCTAGTCGGACTATTTGTCCAAGATGAACGTACTCGTCGACAACTTCGAGCGTAGTGCTCCTATCAACTACCGTCATAGGTGTGACGATTCTACCATGAGGACTACATCATCGGCAAATCTAAAGTGAATTAGTGATGGACTGGCCATTGACGTTTATACCGTATCCTTTCCAGTACATTAGCTTGAAAACGTCTTCCAATGCAGCAGTAAAGAGTTTCGGGGAAAAACGTCACCTGTCTCATAACTCTCTGCTGTTGGTGGAATCGTAGCCCTACTATGCAAACTGTTCACTTCGATATACCGACAGACACCTTGGCACCTTGAACCGTAGTATCGCCCAAATTTCAACGGAATCATAGGCTTTCTCATATTCCACATTCGCAAGGCAATGTGGTAGATTGCACTTTTCGGTTTTATGTACAATTTGCCGAAGGGTACGTTTGTGATCTATGGTAGCCTTTACGGAAACCTGCTTGTTTAGTAAGCTGGAAGTCGTCGAGTCCGCGTGCGAGACAATTTGTAATTACTTTCGATAGTCGTCACATATGTGATCACATCACGTACGGAGTAGTCTTCATCGATCGGGCGGGGGTTAATCTACTCCTAATTCTTAAATTTTTACATTATTAGTAGGATTAGATTAACACCTACTCTGCTCTCCTGTCTGGAGCTGCTCCGGACTGGAGACTCGTGTTGATCCCCAGGGCAAATCTAAGGAGTTGTTCCTTTACGTGGTTGTCACATGTTATTTGGTCTGGTTCAATAGGAAACAGATAAAACAGAAACACTCAGACGATCCTCTTTTCCTTTCTTTTATCCCATCCCCATTTTTCCCATCTTAACCCAATTGTTAAGCGTACCGACTCGATGGATACATGGCTGAGGCGGAAGTCCAGTCGCAAACGGTGCCTACCCGAGAGCAGGGCGATTCGGGTAGTATTTTAGCTCTTCCCTCGGCAAGCGGGGCTCTGTCGGGTGTAACCGTTTTATATCCCTAATTAATCGTGGCAAAAATATGGACGGAAAAGATCGACATTTGAACTCTCTGATGGTTTGGAAGAGACTCTATTAACCTCACCAATGCCCTGCAACACTACGCCACGTAAGCCGTGAAGTTAAGGGCACGTTTGCAGCCGAACCACTATCGGAAAGGAACCAAGAAAGGGACAAGAAAAAGTTCACTAGGCCTTACAAGCTTAGTGGAGCAGCACGGAAGCGGTAAAGGAGGCTGATAGCAGCTGAGATAGGAGCCGAAGCGGCCCTTACTCTCTGCCATAAGCCATTTACCGAAATTCCTTTATCCAAACCTCCCCCGGTTTAAAAGGCAAAAAAACGCAGTCAGTCTGAGGAGTACTCTCCCAAAAACGAGCCCAGGAAATCTGTGAAGCTGGCACCGGGAGAGAAGAAGCTCAGCTACTACTATCGGAGTAAATTAACACGTACGCATGCGGCGTCTGCGCATGATGATTTATAGTATTTTTTAGATAATCATATAAAATAATAACTAAATAAAACGAGCTAATTTTTTTTGGATATTTAACATTACCTTTATTTTGATAAAAACAATTATAATAGATAAGTTTATATCTCAATACACAGGAAAAAAAAGTGAAAAAGTGATACGGCCTATCGTTGGGAAGACCCGGAGGGTACTGAATCGGACGGCGTCTGCGCATGATGATTTATAGTATTATTAAAATAATCATATAAAATAATTGACTAAATAAAACGAGCTAAAAATTTTTTTGGATATTTAACACTACTTGTATTTTGATAAAATAATTATAATAGATAAGTTTATATCCCAATACACAGAAAAATTAACATTGAATTGGACAGTTTTAGTGATTTTATAGTATTGTTTTTTAATATTAAATCGAAATATTTTCGTAATTTAGGCTTTGCTATGTGCTAAAAGACTATATATTTTATTATAATAACGCTTAAAATAAAGTATTTTAGCTTATAATAATGGTTATATTCAACCTGAAAGATAACTCTGACGCAAATTTTCGTATAACGCTATTGAGTGATTGTCTTCGCTCTAAAAACTGTAATTAAAAACTATAATTTTCTGTTGCAGTGCACTGAATAAAAACTTTATCTTTCTAAAGCCATAATTTTCTGCAAATAATCTACTCATATCGTTACGATATCGCCCTTGAAAAAACCCTAAACCATGAAGTTTTTGACGCATATCGCATATAGCACCTCTTAAGACTGGTAGAAAGGACTACGCTTTACCAAAGTCCTTTAGACCTTTAAGTCTTCCTTTCTTCTCAGACATTAAAAAATGTTATAGATAGATATGTGATGGATGTAGCTAGCTACGGGGCCTATACATTACAACCAGCATGCTTACCGCAGAGGCAAATCTACTTCAGGTTCCCCCAAAAGAATTATATTATATATAAAGATGAGAATAATTCAAAGAAGATCCGAAAATTCTGAACATTGGAAAATATCAAAAATATACTAAAATTAAAGTTTTCGACGACGTGCGCAACCGCCATGGTTAGGAAACATTTAGCCCCGCCTCAATGCCCAAGGACGTTGGCGGCTATACTTACCTTAATGGCGATATCAGTAAAGATAGATATTAGGAAAACTTAGCAGATAATTTTGGCCATAGTTATTCACAAGCCTTCTTAGAAATGAGAGGAAGCCTGTGCCAAAGAGTGGGGCGTAGTAGGCATTTTATTCACAGTCTGTCAGAAGTCACAATTTATTCCTGGCATCACGACATCTACGACACTTTCATGATAAGATGAATGAATACCCATAACACGCTTTTGAAAAACATCGTAATTTAGTGAGATCTCAGAGAAATTTATCATCATTCTTATGCTTTAACCCTAGCAGAGTGCAGCGTTACACAAAATACATACTTAAGCCAATCAAAAATATAAATAAACAAAATTGTTAATATTTTAAACCTGAATATATTTACCTGATCTCCTACTTGCAACCCATGGGGACCTGTACGGCCAGGACCTAACTCTCCTAGAAGGGGTAGATGTTCTTTATAAACATTTTGACCTTTAACATCATTCACTACCTGCAATGCAATATATTTTTAAGTAAATACTCACATAACTCAATTTTAAATTCATAATAAAAGTGTTTCACAATAGACCTTCAGATCTGCCATGCCTTCAAAGCCAACCCTGTACAAATTTTTAGCACCATTGTCCCACACTACATAGGCCGCAGAGCGAGGGCTCGCAGCAGACCAGTCTTGAATCTCATTTACTTTTCCACGCCTACCGTTACCTCCATCTTGATCCTCCCATTGCCAATCAACCTATAAAATAAATTATAACTTTCAGAATCAAATTAGTTTGTCATTTATTGAATTACGTTTTTCTTATGCTTTTAATTTTATTTCAGGTAATGTATACAACAAAATTTAAAAGTAGATTAATCTTTATGAAGAATATAGAATATGTATAGATGAATCTTATGGTTGGCAATAAAGGTCACCAAGTTGTGTCTAATTATTAATTAATGACTAATGTTACTACTTTGGAAAAAAAGGCCCGCAGGATTTTTTGTTTGTTCTTCCCAGGACTGAGGTTTTTCTGAAATAAGTGGTAAAAAGAAAAAACGACTTTCAAAAGAATTATTGTATTTAATTATGATATTTATCACGTGCTCGGTAGTGAAGGAAAACATCGTGAGGAAACCTGCATGTCTGAGAAATAAGAAAAAAATCGGCGACATGTGAAGTTCGCCAACACGTATTGGGGCAGCGCGGCGGACACTTTCTTGCCCTAATACCCTTTCAGAAATGAGGAGAGGCCTGTGCTTAGCAGTGGGTCATATACAGGCTGTAACTTTATTGTAATTTATTACAATTAATCTATTTGATTCTATTGTGGATTTTATATCCATATTAAACTTGTCCTAAAAGTTACTATTTAGCCACTCTATAAATAATACTTTTGCTAACATTCAGTTTTGTTCACTGTCTTTAAACACAAATATATAAACAAAAACAGTATACAAGATACCATAGCAGAGTTCTTCAATTGCAACTTAATAGTGCTAATGGGGCTCAAACTTGGATTGCATTTATTTGGACTCCCTTTTTACTAGAAACGAGGCATTTCATCTCAGTCGTCAGGGATGACAACGCATCTGCTTTTTGATTCTTCATTGAAGATAAATGTAGATTTCTATGGGTCACAGCATCCATTTACCATCAGGTGGATTGTGTGCTCGTGTCACCCTTATTCTATGGAAAAAAATGCTTATCTTTCAAGTAATGCATAACAGATGTCGCCATCTTGGAAAGGCTTATGTCCAGCAATGGACTTGAAAAGGATATTATGTCCCTATCTTTTTCTTATTTAAAAAAAAAACTTGTGCTTGTATAACAGAACTTTAATAATAAGACTTTAAAGCAGATCAGATTATTTACTGTTCAATTTTCAAATTAATTTATATTTCAATATATATCTGGGTAACCAAGCTATTCTCGGTGTCAAAAAATCTCAAAGAAAAGGAAACCTATCTAGACAAACTTGAAAATCAAGTCAAACCATATCTCAGTACAAAATTACATCCAAATCTGTAGATCGTTTGCCAAGAAACCTATAATTAGACATATCGGATCGGGGAAAAAGTTTCTTCGTATTTTATATACAAATTCAAGACATTTTTTAAAAGTTTAATTACATTTAATTATAATATATATATATATGTGCCATTTTGTTCGATAACTTGTTGCCATCTTGTAGGTAGTGAAATAATCCTGTTGCTGTAGAAATCTTGGGATTTTTGATCAAAAAAAATGCAACAAGTAGTTTTGACAGTCTTCTCTTGATGTCTTCCTAACAATACTCAAAGTATTCTGAAGAGACCGAAACAGGAGAAAATTGGAGGGTGTAAGGTCAAGACTACATCGTTGATACATTAACACTTCCCAACCAAGCTCTCTCAATTTTTGCTGAGTGGCCAAGTGTGTGTGGTCTGGCGTTATCATAATGAAAGACTACTCCTTTTCTGTTAATCGATTCCGGGCGTTTTATCTCAGTTTCTCGCTCGAGTCTTATTAGTTGTTGGCAGTAGAGATCCGAATCGATGGTTTTGCCCGGCGGTAAAAGCTTATAATAAACGATGCCCTTCCACACAGCATCACATTATTGCGTTTTAATCCGGGTTTCGACCAGACTGTAGGAGCGTTACTAGCCTTTGACCATGATCCTTTTTCACGCATGATGCACGTTCGTATGTAGTTCGTCGTAGGTGATCCACTTTTCATCACCAATGATTAATATGTTCGGTATATGGTTCGGTTTCACTACGTTTCAATAGAGAATCGCAAATTCTTTCAGTTAACTATTGTACCCAAATATCGAGATTTTAAATGACTTTTTAAATGGGTATTAATTGTTTTATGGTCAATCCTCAATTCTTCTGCTATGTCGTAACTACTAATATGCCAATCGTGCCTGACATTTTCAAAAATGGCATCGACTTTATCCGTAAGAGGGCGACCAGAGCGTAGCTGCATATTTGACATCAAAATTCCTGGATTGAAAACGCTTCAACCAACTTTCTGCTACTCTCACTGACACTACATTAGGTCCGTAAAAGTCACAATTCTTTTTCGCGGCTTGAGTCGCATTTTTCCCTTTTATGTAATAAAACTTCAGAATGTATCGAATTTCTTCGTTAGACACACTCATTTTGGCGAACAGAAAAACAATTTAAAATGGCGGGAAAGTGTTTTTTATTTTTGGTTTTATTATATGTTACATTATATGTTTTTCTTAAAGCTTTATATGTATTGATATAAAAACCAGCCAGATACAAACGGTACAACCAAAGACATTTTTCTTCAATTTTATACAAACAATACTTTTTCCCCGACCTATTATTTTGTATATTATACCTACCCCTCTAACAACTCTTGCGCCAGGAAAAATACCCCTCACAGCGTTCTTCTTGCTTTTGCGTCGTGGTTCGACTAGGCAGCGCTGTGCACCTGGAGCACTTATGCGGTAGAATCTATGACGTAAATGATGCTTATCCCCATGGTAGCAAACAGAACACAGATCATAATTACTGCACTCAGCACACTTCCAGCGAATACCTGAAAAAAGTTCCATATTGCAGTAATAACAAAGCAATTTAATATACTATATAAATAGAAGAAATGTACAAATCCGGAGATGGGCAGCAGCGTCTTCCTAATGACTAAAAATAAAAAACTGCGGTTGCCAAGCGTGGCAAAAATGGCAATCCCCCCTATGAGGCAATATATGGGGGAGAACTATGTACCACTGCTGAGACTTCAATAGGATGTAACAGTAACGGTTACCAGCCACTAAACATAAAATTCTTATTTCAATGTACTAAAATATAAAAAAGTATTTATAGCAAAGCTTTAAACCATTGACAGATTTAGTTGCGATGATGTCGAATAACCAAAAAAAATCTCTTGCTCCGCCTACTATCTACTCTGACCGTTTTAATTTTTGAAAGAGATATTCTGATCTTTTAGATTTTATGACTTGTGATGAGCTGTAATGATGATGATGATGATGAATAAAACTATTTTAATATCATTGCCAAAATCAGTGATTTCCGGAATCAAGAGCATTAAACTTTTACTTACTTGTTCCAAAATATAGTCTCTTTCGTAAACATATAATTATGATTTATCAAATTAACAAAGACGCCAAATAAATCACCTTCATATAACGTGAAAACTCTATTTATTGAATTTCCTTGTTACGAAAAACTACTATTGAGTAAATATTAGTTAAACTTGCTTGGTTTTTATACAAACTGATTTATAGAGAGTGATTTAATAACTGTCTATAATGAAGAGCACCCTTTTTAGGGAATACAAAAAACCATTTTTTGAACGCAAAACAACTTTCACCATAAAGTAAAATTTTAAAACTAATGGCATCGGGTTTCTCAGATGTTATAGATATTACCAAGAACTTGAGAAACACATGCACTTCTTTTGTTTATTGTGGTTATAGATCACCATTCAATACAATGTTAGTAGAGACCAAATTATGGTTGACCATATCAGTTAGTGTGAACCTGAAATCCATTCAGTAAACATTACTGGCTGTAAACGTAATAATTTAGTCTAGACCAAAAACTTGCTTGGCATTGTGCAATAAAACACGGTGAAAAGAAAAGTGATGTTGGATAGCTGTTAGGAGTCACTACGTCCACTGTATCCACCATTTAGAAGTGCAAGGAGATGGTCCTGGAGCCCAACAGGAAGGTAGCTCTTGTAAGAAGATACGAAAGTCAATATTTAAAGAACTAGACAAAGCCATGCTGCAGTGGTTCCAGCAGCACCACCCCGAACGGGTTCCCGCCTTGTCGTGGCGGGGGGGCTTAGTAGCCGTGGCTTGGTCTCCCACGGTGAACAAAAAGGAACCCAAGTGGCTGGCCCGAGGTGAAGGGCCGGGCTTAGGGAGCCCACTTCGGATGTTGGCTGGTGGACTGCAGCGAGTGGGGACTCCGCACCCTCTACCGCTGCAGCCGAGGTGGAGTCGCGGAGGAAAAGGAGTGTTTGTATGGCGATGCGCCACTCGCCCTATCCTCCGCGACTCAAACGGGGCCGCACCGTTGATGCGGTGGTGATGGGGCTGCGGGGGGAGAGGATTGTCGGTATTGCGAGGCGCCGCTCTCCCTATCCTCCGCAGTCGAATCTTGGTTGGCGGCGGAGCCATAGACCAGATCCGCCGCTGGGGTCGGGAAGGCTAGTACTTCTAAGTGCTCGTTTTTCCTGGCCCCATGGCCTTCGCGCATCGGACGCGGGGGGCGTCTGTTGCGCAGATGCAATTGGAGGCCGTGGAGGAAGGCGTGCCATGTGTTCTGGTGCGCCTTACTTGGGAAGGAGAACGGGGAAGAATATTCCTCTCCCGAGGAGGTGCTGCCATGGGGCGGCAGTCGCTGGTAGGGCCGTTGAAGTGTGCGAAAGCGTTCCCGTAGCCATGCCAATATGCGACGAAGGTGGAACACCATGGGGTTTTAGTCGGTGCGAGTCCGACATAACCCGTCCTTGCCCCCCGCGAGGCGGGTATGCGTAGGCATTTCCCCATGTTAAAAAAAAAGTGGTTCCAGCAGCAGCGCATCAAGAATATGGCTATTACTGGGCCTTTTGTAAAGTCAAAAGCTGAAAAGTACGCCAACCAGCTTCATATAACAGACTTCAAGGCCTCCTTCTGACGTTTGGAAAATTTGAAAGGCATTACGATATATAAACTACGGCCAGTAGAGTGGAGAAGCCCGTGATATCGCCAGAAACATCATGAACGGATAGCTTAATCTAGATCCAATAAAACACCGTAATTTAGGTAAATACGTATGTGGTGCTAGGTAGTAAAACTAATGACAAACTGGTTGACTTAAATAACATTATTTCTTAATAATTTTATACAAGTACCCACATTCGTAACTGTTTATAGCCATCCAATATTAATTATTAACAAACTCAACAACCAACTTCTAATACTTAACATCATCCAATAAACTAAATATGTATTTATATTAAAACCAGTAAACTTAAGCTATAAAATAATAATAATAATTCTTTATTGAACACAGAATTAATATACAATTCATAGATACCCCTGACTCCTAAACTAGGGTACACTGTATGTTAGGAGACAGTTTCCCTCCTATTCAGTTATCTTACATTCCGTGCACTATGCAGACTCTAAACATAGTTCAAGAAATTTATTCAGTCTATATATTTAAAACATAAAAGATTTTTAACATTGATATGGTCACTATAAAATGTTGTTAAGTTAGCTAATTACGTAATAACTTAAAACAGAAGGACCCTTAAGTAGGGACTGAATAAATTAACCGACTTGGTGTTACATGGATCTCACAACTTTTTTGAGGTATACCTGACGAAAAGATGTAACGTAATTTCCCGAACTCTGCCCAGCCGAGTTGAATCCGTCGATTGACCTCTCGGTCGAAGTGAAACCGTATGGAAGGAGAGGGAGCTCCATAGGTTCTCGTCATAAAGGATGGTAATGTCGACCAAAATTATCCTTGACTGTGACCGGTCAATCAACACAATATCAGGTTTATTCGCAGAAAAGGTCCTGTCTGTAATGATGGCCCAGTCCCAGTAGAGCCTGGCGCGGTCATTTTCAGGTACAGCTGAGTTGACAAGTACTTATAATAAGGCAGGTTCCGACCCACGAGTTCGTATTTCAGAGCGAACTTCCGAAGGTAAAGAATCCTGGCTACAAGATTGTGTCTGTGCAAGTACTCAGAGTTAGAAAGAGCCGCACAACTGGAGATGACATGCCTAAGTGATTCACCGGGTTGGCGACAAGCTCGATGATGTCGACGGCGCCATCTTTTAGGATCTATCTGCGTTAAATGTTGGTCTTAATAACCTGATCTTTTATTGTACAGACAAAACCCTCGGTTTCCCCAAAGAGGTCACCAAAGCGTAACCAGTGAAAGGAGGCGACCGTATCCACGAAAAGCTCATGTAGAGCCTTGTAGAACCCTCCCTCTCCTTGGAGAGGATGATGAGATGGAGCTCCCTCTCCTTCCATACGGTCTCACGGTTGTAAATGCTCTATACTACCGTGTCTTGCCCATGCCTGTTGGCTAAAGATACAGGGGTAAGCTCTTTATCACAAGATCTAGTCGGGAAGTAATTACGGAGGCAACACACCCGCGTTTATGAATGGTGATCGCGCTTAAAAAGCCAAGCCCACCATGCTTGCGCGACAAGTACAGCCTCATCACCGAAGATCTCAGATGGTGCATCCTATGGGACATCATAACAATGTGAACTTTATAGCTTTCGATCTGAGTCCACCTGAGTATTCCAGTAGTGAAGAGGTTCGGGAGAGACTTCTGGTCGAGAGCCTCTTGAAACTGTCGGGCGAGCACAGTGTGACACACCATGAACCCTTTTAACCAGTTGAAATGCAGCCTTTTCCAGTTCGGGGCCCTAAACTGACATTTGTCCCAGCAAACGCCAACCCTTCTGACGGTTTATTGCCCTTCAGGTCGGACAATTGTCAGTCTGCCTAAAAAGGCTCTTGCTTTTGCGATACTGTATTCATATCATTATTCATATTCTTTTTCTACACGTTGGGATGGCGCTACTTTGTGTAGTAGCACGTCCAGCCGCGGGTAGCTTAGCGCCAATAATACGGCATACTGCCAGTGCGACGACAAAAAGAATTGAGTCCATCTCGCAAAGGCTCCGGCTGGCTTCGAAATAAATCACCAGCATTGGGTTTAGAGCCCTTACGACAACCCGATTCCGATTGCTTAGGGATATGCGGGGAAATCGCGGCCGATTCTCGAGAGGCGTACAAAGAGTTTCCGTTATCTTCCAATGTGCTCCTTATTAGCTCTAGTTCATGGACGACGATTCCACCATCGTCTGATAATGTTGTGTAGTCTGCTTTTTTCGATCACTAGTTTTTTGCCAGCAACGACATTTACCAAGCGTTTCCTCGTGCTATATAATTTAGTACCAGCTGAGCCCCGCGGTTTCCCGCGCGCGTATATCACGTGTATCAGCCGCGCGTCATGACACCTAGTTCAAGCATTTAGATAGCAATTTATGGCAAAATTGGCAAAATCAATGGAGTATTTTTTATCGATCGACATACATGTATACGTTATAGATCGAAGTTGAATTTTATCCACTCCCCTCTCCCTCCCGAGTGAGCGTCACACCCCACCCCCAGCGCTCTAAAGTGTCCCGAAGTGCGTTTTTTTTTTCAGTTAAAAAAAATATACATGATACACGAGAAGTGTGTAGGTACGAAATGATCCTTAATAAATTTACTTACAGTTTCCACGCAATCTGCCACGAAATATGAAGATATATTTATGAGTTCGGGACTACGCCTAGGTAGTAGGAGTACCAGAAAAGACGCGTTAAAACCGTTGCCAAATTCGGAGCACACGTCTTATGCACAATAATTAAGCTTCATCAGGCCCACTCGACTTGTTGACGTCCAAGGAGAGGATTGCTTTACCGCTCGCTGTGTAAACAGCACATCCTGCATGGAGCACTCACACTGTCCTAAGAGTCGAGTTGGACGCAAAGAGAGAGCCCAGTAGATC